GAAAACATGATTAGAATATATCAGCGTACCTGATTCTTAATCTTTAATTCCTTATGAATCACACATAACATTCATGGTATATGCTTGAAAACTCCCATTTTGCATATTTGATTACATGAATTCTCGTCACGTTTAATTTTCACTCGGCAAATATTTGATCAATAGTTATGACGTCATAGGTTTGGTATTTAGCCCCCGTGATAAATACTAAGCTGTTTATACCACCCAAAAACGACATGATTTTGTTTATATTATGTTTTTGAATGATTCCATTCATTTCTTGGACCTGAAATTAAACTATAAATTATAGATATTAAGAAATCATTATTTCTAAACTTCACGTCATACAGCTTACTATGACGTCATATTGTAGAGGCAAGTGGGATATCTCTGGGTGTAGCCTTAACATACCCGCGCAAATGCTTTTGAAATTATTTCTTATGTTTGGTGTTGTATTTCTATCAAATCATTTGTATCTAAAAGCATGATAACGTTCCATTACTGGACCACCCACTCCTTATACACAATGTTCAACTCCAATGAGTTTTTCATGTTACTGACTGAGTTCCGAATTTTTCCGAATTCCAATCCGAATCTTTCTTAGTTCGTAATGCCTTTTTTTCGTTATCTAATTCTGATAGTTTTACGCAGAATGGAGTCAAACCAAAGTTTATACTTCGTGGAGGAATAGTAATTTTTTTTTCACAGATAGATTGTCTAACACAAGAGAGAAATTGTCAGTAGCCACGTCGATATTATCGGCATCGTTGATGTATTTACCGCAATCATAATTTTTCATTAAAGAATTCAATTTGTAAAAGTCACCATTTTTACAATCCAGACTTTTCGTTTATAGGCGCGATTGTAATTAATATTTGAGGAAAGTGCAATATAGGCTGCTTGTACCAGATAGTTAGGTGTGACTTCTTTTGTTAAAAGTGTTGGTTATCTGTACATAACTCACACTTTTCTGTGAACTCCGCCCAGCGAGTCAGGACAAAAGAACACTACGAAGAACCAGTCAGGACAAAAGAACACTACAAAGAACCAAGCCCCATTTTTAAATTAAATATTCATCTCTTTTAGATGTACCAAATTCAATACAAAAAATACAAAACACCGAAAGATCATTATTTATTATTTGAAAACTTGAAAACTAATATGTTTCATAAAGATGCTATCCTGTTGACAAGTACACAAAAAAGGGTTTTTTCTTCTTTCTTTTAAACTATTCTCATTGATGAAGGCATAACCTAATTAATACTGACAACATTGTTTATTGATGAAATTGTTCATTATATCTCTTAAAGAAATTCCATTATCGATCTATTGAAAGCCAAGAAATCTTGGAAACCAAAAAACGTGCCTAAATATATGACTTTTAATTGTATCTATTGTAAATGTACAAAATCCTTTAATTATTTGAAATTATCATAAAAAATAAAATTGAGATGAAAAAAAGAGTTTGAATTAATTAATTTCGACATATCTCATTGGAGTCGAGCACATTTTTCAATAACACACATATATATATATATAATTAATATAAATTCGTACTACATTTATAAGACTAAAAAAATCCGATCAATTTTAATTAACTATTGTACAAGTTACTTACCCCATATAATACTGTTGATTATGTGTAGATACCTGATGGACGTGGTCATAATGACAAATCGAGTATCTCAGTCATTCTCCAAAAACATGGCCAATTATGATTTTTTTATGTTGCTTACAAATTTACCGTTGTAATATCTTAACTATAAATTTAAAGACCGATTTCAACTCTAAGGCTTAACATACACACATGGTTTTGTAATTATTTACCGATATATATGCAGTTAAAGTTTTGATATGAATGTTGAAAACGTATTCCACTGCAAATCTTAATGTCGCTTCATTTATTTACAAATTTCCAGATGGAATTTTCAGCCGTAAAAGTGTTCCGAATAGATTGCAATGAATGTTAAAAAAAAGTTTTTATCCTATATAAAAAGAAATTAAACCACTCCTCGCAAAGAAATACATGGATCTTCTTTCATGTGAAATCATAAGCATGTCGCTAAAAATCGATTAACTTCCGTAACGATTTTGTTTTAAATTTCACGCACAGAATGCAGATTTTAAAAAAAACTGAAACTTATCTGAAAGTGACCAAGGAACTTTATATCATCGATTCTAGTTGCGAATCAGCTATTTCAGACGATCACATTTTCAACATAAGAAAATGAATTAGACAAAAACAGTTGTCTTTCTTAAAAAATTAACTTCCGTAACGTAACTCAAGTTTTTGCATTAAAGATATAAATTTTTTTTATAATTTTGGGAGCGAAATGCTTCATACTTTTGTTTAATATCCTAAAACAAACTTTGATTTTAACTATTGCCGAGAATTTTAACTTTTATTGCTGGGAATTAACTTCCATAATGATATTTCCCCCAAATTTTTAACTTAACTTCGGATTCATACGAGACTTCATGAATCATACTTTAGAGTTCTTTACTGAACATCAGAAACAAAAAAATTAGTCAAATTCAGCTTTATTTAAAAATAATAAGACTTGATCAAGCATTAACTTCCTTAATATTACCTTAAAATCAATGGTATATTGAAATTGTTGTAAAAAGTTAACGATACCAGATTTGTTGACAATTATTTTGTTTTCAAGTTCTCTGATATGTCCTTCAGAGAAATATGATGTCCATTTTGCTATTCTAAACATTTTTTTTTCATGTTAACTTTCAGGCGCGGATCCAGGAATTGAAGTTAGAGGGGGCGCAAAAAGTAGGCAGGGGGTCTGGGGACCGCCTTGAGGCCCCCACTGGGTCCAGGGCGAAGCCCTGGTGGGGGCCCAGGGGGTTCCTGGATTCTAGTGATTTTGTAGGGTAAGAATGATGTCTCACGAGTGGACATTTTTACATTTTCTCGACGAAACTATGATTTATGCTAACTTTGACAATTTTAGGGGGCGCGCACCGGGTGCGCCTCCCTTAAATCCGCCACTGACTTTATGCCCTGAATTGGTGCATTTAAAAATCGTGGAATGTGTTATCTGCACATAACCATCAGTATTATATGGGTTACCTACAGATTTGATTGGACAATTTCAAGGACGCTGAATCTCAATTAAGGGAAGTGAAAATAAACTGGGTCAAAAAGCATGCGTCTATTGTTAGAAATTCTCGTCGATACATGGATGTTATTGACAAGATTGGAACTTAAAATTATTTGGTAGATTATGTGTGTTTGAGGAGTATTTAACAAATGTACATTTATATCACCGACAAGTATGAATTTATCCGAAGATTCACCTACTTAATCAATACCGGTACTCCATGAAAGTTTAGTTCAAAAACTGGCGCCAGCGTTAAGAGGACGATAAATACATCAGAGATGGTATTTGCAGGTAAGGTTTTCAATTTCTAGCCAAATGCATTCCATATTAACAGGTTCATATTCTTGGCGTCTTACTGCACGTATTCGGTTACCTGCAGAACTGTAGCGTTATGGTTTTATATTTTAGTCTTTTGTCATGTTGTAAATGGTCCGTTGTAAATTTTGAATTTACCGGGTGGCAGTAAATACAAAATTTACAACATGACAAATACATGACATAGTTGTCATGTTGTAAATTTTGTATTTACTGCTACCCAGTAAATTCAAAATTTACAACATGACACTTTGAGCATAACATAAAACCATAATGCTACAGTTCTGGTTTGATAAATCTATACTTATAAATTAATAAATTTGCAATTAAACTCAGAAACGCCTGCACCCAAGTTCATACCTTCTCCTCTGTTATTACATAAGGCATGATCGAGATGATATGTCCGTAAACTATATTTAGATTTCACTTGCATAGTCATTTTCGTTAATTTAATTAAAAGTACTAGTCTACTTTCATTTTCGATAAACACTCTTGAAATAGCAAAAAAGAGAGTTCCAGTTGGCGGATCTAAATTAGTGACAATTTTGAATGAAACTGACATAAAGCAATCGTTTAATTATTTGATAAAACGTTGTTAATGAATTATTCAATCAAAAATTGATTAAATTGATATAAATAAATAAATGTTGATTACTGATTAAAAAAATAAAATGTGCAAATCCTTTTCGTTTAAATCCGATCTGACATTTGATGGAAATTTCTAGAACGTCAGAAGACATCGAACGATGTTTAAAAGAAAAATAAGGCGATATTCATTACATGAATATTTAAAAAAATCTTTAATGTGAATGGGCATGGAAATTATGGTAAAGCAACTGATAATACTACGAGTTATGAATATGTTTATATCAAAGGCTCTTAAGCTGTGCTTGAAAAATTACCAAAAATGTGCATATTTGCCACAGAGCATAATGGCAACGGATCCGAAGTACAAAAAAATGCAATTTGAATATAGACTTGCTAAAGAGAAAAAGTTAATAAATGAATAAGTTCTTGTTCAAATGTATAAAGTAAGAGTGGTATATTTTAGTTTTCACATGTTTACTAATGCTGTTAAAAATTTTTGCTTTCATAGGTGTTTCTACATACAGTCTTTTGTTATATTAAACACTAGGGTGAAAAGCTTAAATTTGCAACAAAATGTTTTCTCACACATTAAAAGTTTTCATAACAAGTCGTCATAATCCCTGGACATATGAGTATATGATACTAACTATTTGACAATCTATTTTTTTTAACAGAGTAATTATGGATGTCCATGGTCTTCATAAACACAACGATAAATGTGATTTTTGTAAGGAAATTCCAGTATATCACTGCAGTTCATGTAATAGAAACCTTTGTGAGGCATGCAGAGAAACACATCAAAATAACCCTGATACTAAAAATCATGCAGTGATCAGATTTCAACAGTCATTCCTTGGTACCCCACAGCACTATCTTGAGTGCCACAGCTGTGCAGAAAATTGTCAATATTTTTGCAAGCTATGCTGCCTGAGACTTTGTGAGCAATGTCGAGCTGAACACAAAACAAATAGAAACTCCAAAATGCATAAAGTGGTCCTGTACCAGGAACTTGCGTTAGAAAAATGTCATCGTCATCCAACTAAAGCATTAGATATGCTGTGTGGGAAATGTCAGGACCCACTTTGTTATAAATGTGCACTGACTCCATACCATAGGGAACACAATTTACTGGAACTTGAAGAAATCCATTTAAAAGAACTACATGCATTAAAGATCAAAGCATATTTCCTGCCTGCTTCAAAAGGCGTTCTTGCTGAAATCAAAGACGATGTCATAAAGGTAGAGAAAAGAATTGACGAAATAAAGAGAGTTATGAAGGCAGAAGCTAAAGCTGTCAAGTATGAAGTTGACACAATATTATCACAGAACATGAATCAATTAGACCAGCTAGGAAAAGAAATTCTTCATGACCTTGACATCCAAAAGAATGTTATGGATGATTATATATTATATCTTAATGAAATTTTAGACAACGGTGTACCAAAACTGCGATATCAAGAGCAAAGAACAGAGAAGATAGATGCACCGAAGCCTATACCAGATACATTTAAGATTGACCTTCCAATATTCACTCCTGCACAGTTCAACAGAGATGATATTTTGATTTTATTGGGTAAAACTAACACTTCAGCAGTGGTAAGGGAAAAAAGAAATGTTAATATTGAGAACCAACTTTATACTGATAAGTCATTCTTTAACGAGGAATCTTATGGGAAAAAGATCGAAAATCCAAGGAAGGAGAAACGGACAACTTTGTCTTCCTCTATCATTCAAGTCAGGGATATCACTGTACCAGGTTTGTGCTACACTTGCCACATCTCGCTAGATAAGTCAAATAGACTTTGGGTCAGTGATTTAAATGGTCACCTCATCCAGACCAATCTTCTTGGGACCCAAGAGAGGGCAGTTAAAGGAAGTGCTATAGGAGCAGCTAACCACACGGTGTCTGAGGGTGGGGATCTATTGTTTATAGACAACCAAAATAGTACAATCCAAAGGCTCACACCTGAGAAGATGGTAGAATTCATCACAACAAAGGACTGGAGACCTATTAGTATCTATTCATCTCAAATCAATGGGGACGTACTGATTGGAATGATTACAGACAACGATGCCAAAGTGATACGATACAATAAGACCGGAGAGAAAATTCAGGATATAAAGAAGAAAGGATTGATTCATAATCTCTATGAGTTTCCAGGCCACCTTACGGAAAATATTAATGGAGATATTTGTACTTCAGATTGGGGCACAAGAGCAGTAGTGGTAGTAAATAAATCAGGCAAACATCGATTCTCCTACACCGGTCAACCACTGCAATCAGAATTCTGGCCCCGTGGGATCTGTACTGATGTCCTTAGTCATATCCTGGTGTGCGATGATTACAGTCAATCTGTCCATCTTATGGATCAGGATAGCAATTTCCTGTCCCTCCTTATAACACAAGAAAATGAAATTAAAAGACCCCGTTCTTTGTGCATTGATGAAGAGAGCAATTTGTATGTGGGAGAGTATGAAAGTAACTTAGTTAAAGTGTTCATTTATCTAGAATGATGAGTGATGAGCAATAAAGTTACATGTATATGGGCTTTAAATTCAAATGACATAGATATTACTGTTTTTCTAAAGGGTTATATTACTTAAACGTGATGCACCATTACTGTACATGTTCAGTTTCAATGATTTGTTTCTGCATTACTTACTAAGTGTGTTTGCACATTAATATGATTATTCATGCTCCAGTAGTTCGTATAATACAGTTTCTAAAGTTTTTTTGCCCCGCCATGAATATGGCCGGGGTATATAGTGTTTGTCATGTCCGTCTTCCGTCCTTCCGTCTGTCCTTTGTGTTTAGCTCAATTTCAAGGAAACTATTCAAGATATTTTTATCAAAGATATGCTAAAACATATTGATGAAAGCTATTCAAGTGCATCAACATTTTTCTTTTACTTTTCTTTGACCTTGACCCACTTTTCTTAAATTAGTGTTTAGCTCAATTTCATAGAAACTATTCAAGATATTTTTATCAAACCTTAATGCTTATACATCTTCAACTGCATCCGCATTTTTAGACGTTGACCTTTCTTTTGACCTTGACCTCACTTTTCTTAAAATAGTATTAAGCTCAGTTTGAAAGAAACTATTCAAAATATTTGAATATCTAATATGCTGATACATATTGATGAGAGGTATTCCACTGCATCAACATTTATTTTATCCTGAGTTTTCCTTTGACCTTGACCTTGACCTCACTTTCTTTAAATTAGTGATTATCTCAATTTCAAAGAAACTCAATAATATATTTTTATCAAACTTTAATGCTTATACATATTGAAAAGAGTTCTTCAACTGCATCAGCATTTTTTAACCTTGGCCTTTCCTTTACTTGACCTCACTCTTCTTAAAATAGTTTTAAGCTCAGTTTCAAAGAACCTATTCAAGATATTTTAATCAAACCTAATATGCTGATGTATACTGATAAAAGTTATTCAATTGTTTCGACATTTTTGACCTTGACTTTTCAATTTACCTTGACCTCACTTTTTTAAATTTGTGTTTCGTTTAATTTCAAAGAAACAAATTAAGATATTTTATCAAACTTCATACGCTGATACGTATTGAGGAGAAGTAGTCAAGTGCATCAACATTTTTTGACCTTGACCTTTCATTTAATCTTGACCTCACTTCTCTCAAATTTGTGTTTAGCTTTTTAAGAACATTTTCCAGATATTTTTTTATGTAAGCTTATGCACTGATACATTGTTTGGTGAAAAATTAACAACAGTGTCCTTTATTTTTTTTTTTTTTACATCCTTTGACTTTATTATTAGCTCACCTGAGCCGAAGAGAGCTTTTCTGGTCAAAATTTGTCCGTTGTCTGTCGGCGTCGTTGTCGGCGTCGTCGTCGTCGTTGTAAACTTTTCACATTCTCATCTTCTTCTCAAGAACCACTGGGGCCAATTTCAACCAAACTTGCCACAAAGCATCCTTGAGTAAAGGGAATTCAAGTTTGTTCAAATGAAGGACCACACCTTCTTCCAAGCGGAGATAATTATGAATTATAGTGAAAAATTAATGGCATCATTTAAAAATCTTCTTCTCAAGAACCACTGTGCTAGAAAATATGAAACTCATGTGGAATCATCCTCAGGCAGTATAGATTCAAGTTTGTTCAAATCATGACCCCCGGGGGTAGGGTGGGGCCACAGTGGGCGATCAAAGTTTTACATAGGAATACATAGGGAAAATCTTTAAAAATCTTCTTCTCAAGAACAGCTTAAGCCATGATTGGTCATATTTATATGAAAGCATCCTGAGGTAGTGTAGATTTAAGATTGTTCAAATCATGATCCCGGGGGGGGGGGGGGGGTAGGGGGGGGGCCACAGTAAGCGATCAAAGTTTTACATAGGAATACATAGGGAAAATCTTTAAAAATCTTCTTCTCAAGAACAGCAAAGCCATGATTGGTCATATTTATATGGAAGAATCCTCAGGTAGTGTAGATTCAAATTAATACAAATCATGATCTCGAAGGGTAGGGTGGGGCCACAGTAAGCGATCAAAGTTTACATAGGAATACATAGGGAAAATCTTTAAAAATCTTCTTCTCAAGAACTGCGAAGCCATGATTGGTCATATTTATATGAAAGCATCCTGAGGTAGTGTAGATTTAATTTTGTTCAAATCATGACCCCCGGGGGGTAGGGTGGGGCCACAGTGGCTGATCAATGTTTTACATAGAAATATGTAGGAAAAATCCATAAAAATCTTCTTCTCATGAGCAGCAAAGCCATGATTGGTTATAATAAAATAAAAGCATCCTGAGGTAGTGTAGATTCAGATTTGTTCAAATCATGACCCCCGGGGGTATAGATTGGCCATTACAGGGGTTAATAGTTATGCCCCCCCTTCGAAGAAGGTGGGGCATATTGCTTTGCAGCTGTCTGTCGGTCGGTTTGTCTGTTGGTCCACCAACAGTTTCCGTTCATTTTTTCCCAGAGGTTGCACATACTGAAAGGAAATTTGGTGTACAGATTTATCATAAGAATATCTAGGTTAAATTCTGTTTTGGGTATGATTGAGCAATTTTTGACAGAGTTATTCCCCTTGGACTTAGAAAAATTCCAATTATTTGCAGTTTCCGTTCATTTTCTTTGCAGAGGTTGAACATACTGAAATGAATTTGGTATACCGATTTATCTTAAGAATATCTAGGTCAAGGTATGTTTTTAAAAAAACGAGCATTTTTTGACAGAGTTATGCCCGTTGGACTTAGAAAAAATCCAATTATTTGCAGTTTCCGTTTATAAGTGTTTCACAAACATCTCTTGTTATACAAAGGAATATAAAGGACAGATTAATTAAAATTTCTTCTTAAGAACAGCAAAGCCATTATTAGTCATATTAATTCAAAAGCATTCTTAGATGGTGTAGATTCAAGCTCAGGTGAGCGATGTGGCCCATGGGCCTCTTGTTTGTTGTGTATTTAACTCAGTTTTAAAGAAACTATTCAAGGTATTTTCATCAAACTTCATACACTTATAAAATTTTCATGTTGCATTACTAATAAACCCTGGGTGGGGTATTGATGTCCTATGGACATATTTTTAGTTTCTTATATACCGAAACGTAAAAGAAACGCAACATCCTAATTTTAGGGGGAAAATTATATACAGGTTATAACTTTGTACTTAAAAAGTTAGGACATCTTCAACTTTGCAAAATCAGTAATTTAACGGTTGAATGATTTTCATTCCATTACCGGAAGTTGATTTTGAGCCCTCTTAACAAAAATAAAAAAAAATGCATGTTGTATAAAACATTTGACAATAAATTGGGTTTTCAAGGGTTTGTAGCTGTTAATCATAAGTATTGCATTAATATTCCGGGAAAAAGTCCTTCTTTCTTTTCCCGATGGGATACCAATATTTCCTCAAAATGTTTGAAAGCACGCATTTTCATCGCTCTTGCTGGAAATTCTCAAAATAAAGGTAAAGGAGAGTTGCAGATGCAAATATGCACTACATAACGACTCATCAGGCTCATGCATTTCAAAAGCATGAATGACAGTTCTTTGACCGGTAGTCCATGGGTTGCTACACTATGTAAGGTTAGAGAAAATTCGACCTCGGTATCTGGAAAAACAGGCTCTTAAAATGCCTAAGAATATTTCTTTCGCTCAGATCAAGAGATTGATAAACCTAATGCATCGTAGAAATTGAGCTGCAATTGTTGTACATGGCGGACTAGCACGTTGTAATTGAATCAGTGGTCGGAAGGGGGATGGTTTAAGAGTTATGTGGTACTTTCTAAGGTTTGAAGATAACATTCAACGTTTAAATAAAAAATCTGATGTTTGTGAATTTACTTTTTACCTTACTGTATTCATTTTTGAATGTTATCTTTAAACCTTAGAAAGTATCATAACTCTTAAAACATCCCCCCCTTCCGACCATTCAATTACAGCGTGCTAGTCCGCCAAGTACAACAATTGCAGCTCGATTTCTTCGATGCATTAGGTTTATCAATCTCTTGACCTGTGCGTAAGAAATATTCTTAGGTATTTTTAAGTGCCTGCTTTTTAGATACTCAGGTCGAATTTTTTCTAACCGTAGTGTAGTAACCCTTGGACTTCCGGTCAAAGAACTGTCAATCATGCTTTTGAAACGTATGAGCCTGATGAATCGTTATGTAGTGCATATTTGCATCTGCAACTCTCCTTTACCTTTTTTTGAGAATTTCCAGCAAGAGCGATGAAAATGCGTGTTTTCAAACATTTTGAGGAAATATTGGCATCACATCGGGAAAAGAAAAAGGGATTTTTTCCCCCCGGAATGTTAATGCAATACTTATGATTAACAGCTACAAACCCCTGAAAATCCAAATTATTGTCAAATATTTTATAAAGCATGCAATTTTTGATTTCTGTTAAGAGGGCTCAAAATCAACTTCCGGTAATGGAATGAAAATCATTCAACGTTAAATTACTGATTTTGCAAAGTTGAAGATGTCCTAACTTTTTTAAGTACAAAGTTATAACCTGTATGTAATTTTCCCCCTAAAATTAGGATGTTTCGTTTCTTTTACGTTTCAGTATATATTCTACGGAAGCCCGTTGAGGCCAATTCAGAGAAAGAAATATTTTTTATTGCGTTTAAACGCAATAATTATTGCGTTTAATCGCAAAACATTGCGTTTAATCGCAATAATCATTGCGTTTAAACGCAAAAGATTGCGTTTAATCGCAATGTATATTGCGTTTAAACACAAAACACTTTGCGTTTAATCGCAAAAGATTGCGATTAAACGCAATCTTTTGCGTTTAAACGCAATACTTTTGCGATTAAACGCAATAATTTTTGCGTTTAAACGCAATAATTTTTGCGATAAAACGCAATACTTTTGCGTTTAATCGCAATAATTTTTGCGTTTAAACGCAATACTTTTGCGATTAAACGCAATACTTTTTGCGTTTAAACGCAATAATCTTTGCGTTCAAAGGCAATGATTATTGCGATTAAAGGTAGTCATTTGTATCAAATCTTGCAGAGT